CTCCTGCCCAATTTTGTACAGGGAGTGATGCTTGAAGCATGCAGTCAGTCCGTGGGAGAGGGTGGAGGGCGCCTGGCATGGCGTGAGTAACCCCCTCGGCCTCAGTGCTGCTGCCTGCTCCCCGGCCTGGCTGCTGTCATGCAAAGTAATCCCCTAAAATTAGAAATTCCTCAAAGTCCCATCATTGCGCTGCCCGATGTCTGATTGCAACTGATGGCACGTCTTTCCAGCTTTCTTTTTTGACTTGTAAATTATAGATATACAAAAAATTAAGTTTAAATGCAGAAAGGTGGCACCCCAGGGTCGGACCCTGGCTTACCATGGGCTGGACCCCTCGTTGCTGCAGGCTGGGTGCTGCCGTGTGCCTGCACCGCATGGGGACGTGGTGATTCTCAGCTAAAGCCAGTCCCTGCCCTGGAGACCGGACAGTTGAAATAGAAAATGAGGGGAGACAGCAGGAACTGAGGTGCAATCTGGTGGCCCCAAGTCTTGGGGCAGAGCCTGGCTGTGCTGGCGCGTTCAGAGTTTGCCGTCCCCCGCCCCCGGGGCAGCAGGTGCTGCTGGTCCCACCTGACGGAGCTGCTCTGCTCTTGCCCTTGCAGTTGGCGACAAGGTGCCAGCGGACATCCGGATCATCGAAATCCGGTCCACCACCCTGCGGGTCGACCAGTCCATCCTCACAGGTACATGCAGGCTGGAGTGGAGGGGGCTGCTGAAGGCAGAGCTTTCCCCCTGCCATCTGCTCCAAGCCAAATTTCGGGTCTGACAATGGGCTAAGTGCATTGCAAGGGTGGGAAATGGGTGGGAGAATGAGACTGAGGAGCTGGGGAGGTCCCAGCATCATCTGAAAGTCATGGATAGGTGAGATGTACCTGGTGCTTGGGCATCCCTCTTGCAAAATGCCAAGCATGGGGCGTTCCCGTGTGGCACGGGGGGTTTCACGAGGGGTGCTCAGTCCCTACCCACACTCCCCCCATGCAGCCGTTGCACGATGACCACTGGTGCACGAGGCCTGGCAACTTCAGGGAGAGATGACAATATTTTGGGCTTTTTTTTTTTTTTTAAGCACTGGAACAGCCCTTAAAGCTGCTAATCTATGGTATTTCAAAAATTCTCTCTCTCTACTGTCAAGGAAGGCTGGTGAATGATCAGCCAACAAAAGAGGGCTTCCAGTATTTCAGCTCTCGTGCATGATTTTGTAAAGCTATCGAGTTAGGAGATGGCAGCAGGGAAGGAAAAGCAATCAGAAAAAATATTAAAAATACGGGGAAAGGAGCCCAGCCTCTTTGAAAAGTGGATTTGCCTTAACTTAGTTCTCCAAGGGCAAAAGGAGATGCAGCAAAAGAGCAAATCTGCACAGAACAAAATAGAAACCCTTCAGCAGAAGGGTTCTTATTGGGCTGCCCTACAAACCCCATCTGACGTGCAATCCTCTGCTGCGGGCTCCCTGGCGCAGTGATTTGGCCCCATCCTGTTGGGCTGTACAGGAGTTCGCAGCCACTAGCGATTCCCACAGGTCATTTTTTGTGCAGCCCTCATCTTCAGAGCACCTTGGCCCAGCTCTGACATCTCCATGGTGGACGTTTGGATGGTTTGGTGGCAAAGTGCTGCTTTATAAAGCCGCGGGGGTTGTGGTGCAGGCTCATAACAGCGTTGAGCGGAGGCTGGAGAGGAAACAAGGGCGGTTCATCTCCCCGCTCTTGTCTTGGCAGGAGAGTCTGTGTCGGTGATCAAACATGCTGACCCTATCCCTGACCCCCGGGCTGTCAACCAGGACAAGAAGAACATGCTTTTCTCCGTAAGTCCCTTATGCTTGTCGCCACCTCTCGTGTGGTTTTGCAAAGAGACACCAAGTGAAGAGGCAGGTGGTTACAGGAGGTTACAGTGAATGCATGCCTGAGAAAGACCCAAACCCATTAAAAGAGCCCCAAATCCATAAAAATGAGGACCTGTTTCCATGGGATTTCATTTGGGCTGTGGCACATGAAGCCCTTAAATACTTTGGGCAATCTCAGTGGGTTTTCCATCAAGTAGGATGCATTATGGATGGGGAGAAGGCTTGTGGTTGAGCCTGGACCTATTGCAAATTTGGGTTTCCTCCTGGCTCATGCTTCTCTCAGGCAGAAGTCCTTGAGGGGCAGGAGAGCTCTCAGGAGGGTTTGCTGCTGCTTTGGGATGGGTTTATCTGAAATCTCAGGATGCCTCATTTTCCCCTCAGCCAAGATCTCATGCTCTCCTTTCACAATGAGCAACCCATTTCTCTACTCAGGCTGAGAGGTTTCATGCCCAGATATCCACTCTGGCCCCTTTCTTCCCTCCCAGGGCACCAACATAGCAGCTGGGAAGGCTGTAGGGGTCGTCATTGCGACAGGGGTGTACACCGAGATTGGGAAGATCCGAAATCAGATGGCAGAGACGGAGCCTGAGAAGACCCCCTTGCAGCAGAAGCTGGACGAGTTCAGCCAGCAGCTCTCCAAAGTGATCTTCATGGTGTGCATTGCCGTCTGGGTCATCAACGTCAGCCACTTCAGCGACCCCGTCCACGGTGGCTCCTGGTTTCGGGGAGCCATCTACTATTTCAAGATTTCGGTGGCGCTGGCGGTGGGCCGCCATTCCTTGCCGGCCGTCATCACCACCTGCCTGGCGCTGGGGACGCGGCGCATGGCCAAGAAGAATGCCATCGTCCGGAGCCTGCCCTCGGTGGAGACCCTGGGCTGCACCTCCGTCATCTGCTCTGACAAGACTGGCACCCTCACCACCAACCAGATGTCTGTCTGCCGGGTGAGTGCCAGGGGCATTTCGGGGTGCAGGGGTGATGCTCTGTAAGGCCCCGAGCACTCTGCATCACTCCATCCCCAGCCTAGGGTGACGGGCTTTGCTATCCTCACCAGACTTGTTTCGTGTTAGGAGTTTGAAGGTGAGCATGGAAGATGGTTTATGGGAAGCCCTAAGCTTCCTCTCTGCCTGACCAGGGTCAATAAGGTTTATGGCTTCTCTTGGCATGGTTGTAATCAGAAAACTCACTTTTATGAGCACACCAGTTTGGAGGTGCTATGCTTATTTCAGGGCTCCCTCTCCAGAGAGCATTTCTTCCTGCCGGGATGTGGCATTGAGATAGAGCTCCTGGAGAAGCCAACGCAATCAGCCTCCTCTGTTCTTTTGCCCATTTTCCCCCTGTTTTTAACCAAACCAGTGAAAAATCCCAGACCGTGCAAAATTAAAAAGCTTGGATGTGTGAGGCTGAAAGTCAGAGGGTCAGTGCAGCGTGTGGGTCCAGTTGGCCATGACAAAACTTGTGCAGAAATCTAGGGGCTGAGAGAAGATGCCCGTGACCTGGTGAAACAGTGCTTCGGTTACCCGTCCTCACCTGGCAGAAGGTCTGCCATCCCCAGCTGTGTACAGCTGGGCTCGGACCAGAAAGCACTTCTGACAGAGGGAACCCTGGGATGGTTTGGTGAAGAGGTCAAAGGCTCCTGGTCTACCAGAGAGCTTTGCTCTTGCGTGCCTGACCATACAGAGGGGTGACTTGTTAGGAACGCCTGGACCATCTGAGTACTTCTCAGTTTCCCCATTAATCCTCAAGTCTCAGGAAAGCTGCTTTTCATGGTCTTGGCGCGTCGGTTTTATAGGAGAACCTTGGAAAATGTGTTGCTGTGGGGAAAAATGGACCTGGCCACCGTCCCTCCTCTCTGACACTTGGGTAGCGTGGTCGGAAGCCGTGACCGTGCTGCAAGCTGGCCACGGGTTTGCTCAGCACAAACTACAGATGACTGGAAATGTCTGATATTTCTGCCCTGTAAATGATTTAAAATGAGACACCACTGGAACGAGGCAGTGACCAAGCTGTCTTGCATGAAGAGAAGGTTCTCACCAGCCCTTCACCAAAAAGCAGCCCAAGGGGTACCAGCAGGTCCTGCCCTGGGGCTGTGGGGACGTGGCTGGCTCACATCATGTTTGTGATCCCTCCAGTTTCTGGTGCTGAGCCCATGGCAATGGTGTGGGTGGGTGGGTGCCAGAAATGCAGCTCTGCTGGGACGGGGCAATGCCTCCTGCTTATCAGCCGGGCATTCCCAGGCACGTGCTCACACGTGGGGTTATTTTTATGGGCTGATTTTCATGCCAGGACAATGGCCAATTTGTTCCTACCTCCTCAGTTTTGGGGGTTTCATTTTCAGGCTGTTGGCACAAAGTGGTCAAAGCTCTGGTGGGCTGCAGCAGTGTGGAGCTCGGAGCGGTGTGTGCCACCCCCGGCCAAACCACAGGACACTGCCCATCTTCTGCCCCAGGAATGCAGGGAAGCGAGTAAAGGGTGACCCCAGCGCCTGGGGTCTCGCTAGCTCTGCGGATGGAGAGGTAGGGCATGATCATGCTTTCCCCAAACCATTTCCCACTGGATCATCTGCTCCTTGAACTAGGGCAGAAGGTGCGGTCCAGTGCGGTCGGGAGAGGCAGAATTAGTGATGCTGAGACAGGGAGAGGGCAGGAGGGGGATGGAGTGGGGCAGCAGCGCTCACGAGGTTTTTAGCTTCAATCAGCCCTAACTTGGCCCAAGTTAAAATTTGCAATGCAGCACATTTGAGGTGGGGGTGGGGTGAGGAGGAAATTAAAATTCAGAATTCCACGTGTCCTCCACCCTGTCCCCCCGCAATCCCCTTCCAATATCCATGTTATTCATTGGTTGAATCCTGACTCCCAGGGCGTGATACCGAGAGCCAGGCTGGCCTCAGGACACGCAGACACGGCTGTTAATGTTTAACGGACA